AAAAAATTCCTTACAAATTCAAATAAAATTAATCAGCATGTCTCTATTATTTTTTTACCTTAAAGCAACACGTAGTACCTACCAAACCCTTTTTTCAGTGTGATAAAGGAGCATATTTTGGGAGAAAAGTTCTAAAAAACATTTAAATTTAATTATGTGAGAATAAAAATGTTTCGAAGGCTTGAAAATCAGTGAACAGAATATATCTTCTTTTGGAAAGTTAATTTCATATTTAAATATTTAATTTATTATTCTAATTATAAGAATACAAACTTCTAAGTATATCTCCTATGGGAATGATTTTATCTAATTAGTACCTCTCATATTGTATATTATAATGTTATTATAGAAGAAGTAGTTCATTATTTGGCACAAATACGTGTCTCAAATGCCAAATATTGTGTTTTTTGGACTGTATATTTATAGAGAGTGTGGACAAGTAGGTAAAAGATGGTAAACTGTATATATTATATTTATACAAGTGTTTGATTGTATTAAGTATATAGGAACAAGCTACGTCTTCAATTATGCCTGAGGGCTTCGTTGCTGGATCGAGCGAATGTAGGTCCGCAGGTCGGCATCTATATATATTGCCAATCTCTTCTCATATATCGCCATATAACTTTGCGATCTACGGCGATGCGTTCAACGTACTTTGTTCAATTGACGCTCACGCATTTCCGTTCGATTACTCACTTTAAAGAAACGTCGATTACGAAGAATGTCTCTTATATTTCCTAATAGTTCATTTCCTCGATACTTTTTTAAATTCTCAGCAAATGATTTATTATAAATGTCTATATAAATCGAATCCTTTATTATATATATACCAATGTGTGCCTTATATGTGCAAGTATATTCTCACTTTTTGTTTTTAATTGGATGTTGATATACAAGGTGATTTTTATGTTCCGGATCCCCTACAAAATTTTTTTAATCTCTTTTTCATTTTTTAAACAAAAAAAAAAGTGAAATTAAAAAAAAATTTCAGAGGGTCCGGAACATAAAAATCATCCTGTATATAAATATGGGGCAAAATTTCTGAAATTTAATTTTTAAAAAAGGGGTAAATTTTGAATTTTTTTTTAAATAAACTTTCTGCATCTTTTAAAAGAGCAGGTAAAACTTTTCAAAAATATATAGGTCAAAATTTTGTTCATCCTTTTTTATGCAAGTTTAGTGATTTTTCAAAAAATTCACTGTTCACATTTTATCAAAATTTTAATTGCCTTACCCCTCTACAGTTTTTTGATAAAAATTAATAATAATTTATGGGTGAAATGTCATAGAAATATTTTTCGAAATTAATTTTTATGGATCTTTGTATATATATATATATATTCAATTTAGAATGTTAATTTTGTATTAAATTAAAAAATTTTGATTTGGAATGTAAAATTTATTAATGAAATTCCATATTTATCTCAAGCGTATGATTGTGACCTAATAACTCTCATTCATATACCATACTTTTTAATAATTATTTTTTCTTTCCTTATTTTTTTTTTTTTATCTTTCATTCATAACTTTCAAGAGTGTCTTGGACTCATCAGCTTTCTTTTTATGTTAATTCATAAAATAGTGTAAATTAAAGATTCTTTTCGGTTTCCATTCAAATTTGGTAAAGCCGCTCTCTTTCTCTTTCAATTTCCCTTTCAACCAGTTTTTTTTTCTCTGTTTTTGAATTTGTTGCGGTTTAATGATTATAATTTGCGCAAGTTTGCAAATTAGACAACATATATATGAGGCAATTTACGCGTGTAATGTCCTGAGTTAAAAAATTGATTTCTCGAAAAAAAAGTGAAACTTGGGGAAATTTTTGTCCTATCTGATAGTAAAATATCCTTAAAAAAATTTTTGACTTTTTTGAAATTTTGGGGGAGATAGAGGGGGGTTAATTTTATCAGTTTTCCCTAACACCGTCTACTGTTTAAATTTTTTCTGTCTATAAATGCAATAAAAAAAATTTTGGCAGGTATGTTTTTTGAAGGTTTTTTCATGCTCTTTCCAATAGTGAATTTTGTTTTTTCAAAATTTTTCAATTTTGACCTTGATTTTTTATAATTAAACATAAATTTGCTATTTTCACTAAAATCGATGGGATTTTTTTTTAAATAAATAATTGCAAACGAAAGCTGAGATTTTTTCCGATCTGTATATGAATTTTCAGAATGACGATTTTTTTTGTTTTTGAGATATTAAATGTCAAAGATTTTATGTCGGCGCGCGCGGCGAGGCGGTCGACTCATACCGCGCCGCGGTAGCTGTTAATACTGGCGTATTGTGGGAATGGTGATGTTTAAAAATTAAAATTTTTAAAAATAATTTTCAACAACTAAAAATTGAATTTTACTTACGATCCGCCATTTACAATTTTAAAAAACAAACTTGATATTTGTAATCAGCAACTATAACAATCAGCCTTTTCCAAGGCTACCAAATCATCCCGAAAAACCCCGAGTAACAAGTTTCAAGCGAATTGTATTAGATTTTAAAAATCGTACGCCATATTGGATCCGACATTTCGAATTTTAATAAACTGACTTCAGATTCGTAATCAGCGACCTCGAAAACCCCCGAGTAATAAGTTTCAAAGGAATCTAATGAATTTTTAAAAAATTGTCCTCCATATTGGATCCGCCATTTTGAATTTTAATAAATTGACTTCAGATTCGTAATCAGCGACCTCGAAAACCCCCGAGTAATAAGTTTCAAAGGAATCTAATGAATTTTTAAAAAATTGTCCTCCATATTGGATCCGCCATTTTGAATTTTAAAAAACTCACTTCAGATTCGTAATCAGCGACCTCGAAAACCCCTGAGTAAAAAGTTTCAAGAGAATTCAATAAATTTTTAAAAAATCGTACCCCATATTGGATCCGCCATTTTGAATTTTAAAAAACCGACATCGGATTTGTAATCAGCGACCCCGAAAACCTCCGAGTAACCATTTTGAGGCAGATTTAATGACTTTTTAACTGTTAGTTCAATATTCTTTTCATATCTACTAAATTGCAATTACTTTTCCGCCATTTTGAGTCCGCCATCTTGAAATTGAAGGTTCTCATGATCATAGTTTAAAAGTACAACTATTTTATCCACCAATAGGATAGGTTAGATGTCTTAGAAGAAATGTTTTCGGCTTCAAAAAAAATATTTAAAAAAAAAAACAGTGATTTTTTAGGTTTTTTTTAAATTTTATTCGCCATATTGGATTTTCTGGTGGACCAATCTCTATTTTGACCTCAAAATCTGAAAGAGCGATACCCAATACCCCCAAGAACCCATGGGCTTTAAAATATCTGGTCTTTTAATGTTTTAATTCTTTCATTGAAGTTAAGTTAAAAATTGTGGACATTTGGGCGTTAATGGGTTTTTAGAAATGAAATATAACAGGTTAATTTGTAACTATAGATTTTGTTAAGATATATGTCAAACTAAAAGATTAATTGAATATAAACATTTAATCTGCATAAAGTTGGCGTCGACACTCAGCGCCGAAATTTGTTTTTCATAGCACCAAAAATGTTAAATTATTTTTTTTTTTAATTTTTGGTCCAATTAATGCCTTGGGACATAATTTTCAAGGTATTATGTGGACGCAAAACCTTTTTAAAAATAATTTAATATTCTTGGTCTCGTGAAAAATAATATTCGACGATGAGCGCGTCGACGCCAACTTCATGAAGGTAACATTTACGAATAAAAAACAATTGAAAATTCAAAAAAAAAAATAATTCAAAAAATTCGTCTTTTAGGAGAAAGTAGCCATTAGGAAAAAAATTACACATTAGAAATTTACTATTAGGAAAAAAAAATATATTAAGAATTTACAATTAAGAAAATTGGATTAGGAAAAAGCAATTGGGTAAAAAGGATTAGGAAAAATGACTATTAAAAAAATAGGTCATTAGGAAAATCGTCCTGGAACGATATATCAAAATCAAAATTATGGTTTTCTGGTTTACTTTAATAGACTAAATCTTTCTGGTTTTTAAAAATGGTATAATACACATTAAAATCAAAATTTTGATTCAGTGTTTTATTATTACAGAATTGAATTGTCATCCATTTGGTTTAGAAAAACGATTTTAGAACATATCAAAATCAAAACTTTGGTTTAGTACTTTATATTTTAACAATTTCTTTCTGGTTTTAAAATTCAAAAACAGTATAAAACATATCAGAATCAAAATTTAGGTGGTTTGCTTTAATAGGATTTACGAAAATTGTATAGAACATTGAATTAAAATTTTGAATTAGTGTTTTATTTTAACAGAATGGAATTAATATATTTCGGGTTTTCAAAAAATGGTGTAGAACATATCAAAATTTTCGTCTAGTATTTTGAAAAATGCTACAGAAGATATCAAAATCAAAATCTCTTCTTCACAAACACTCTTATGATATCGTTATCAATTTACCCTTCCTGAACTTAAACACTCCTAACAACCCATTCATCCATTTCTCATTCTCTCCTCTCACATCTTTCTTCATTCACCATCTCCATGGATCCGTATATATACCATTCGACTAGATCAAGAAGACTTGTTCTCACCTCTCTCTTTCTCAACTCTCGTTGGTGAACGATCATCTCACCCACGATGAATCCTGTGTAGAACAATTTGTTCTTCACTATATAGTAAATGAATGACGGTACATGTAACATATATATATAACGGGTGAGGGACTTGACAAGGTGGTAATAACAACAAGTAGGTACATTGATGATATTACAACAACCATTTCTCTATGTGATACTTGCTACCATCATCATCATCATCATCATCATCATCATCATCATCATTATCATTATCATCAGTATGTTCAACAGTCATCTAGTATTTATACCCTAAAGAATCTTATGAAGCAGATCAAGTCAGGTCGAGTCTGCAATGAAGAGACAGGAGTGCGTTTGGTGAGGGGGCAATGCAAAGATTAAGAGAGAGGGGCTGCTGCTCGATAGACCTTTCTCCTGTTCCTTAAGACTGTCGAGTCTCGTCAGTTCTTACCGGAACACAGACCAAGTTACAAACCATCCGAAGAAAGGTCGTCATTGTTTTAATTATACATATTATTGTTCGCGACTGTTTCCCCTTCCACCTTAAAAAAAAGTATAATTCAAAAATTTTGAATTATTTTTTTTCCTAAATGTTCTTCAGTTCTTTGGGTTATAATTTTCGTTTTTGTGACTGAATTTGTAATTGTTCGACATTAAAAGAAAAAAAAAAATCAAAATCATCTCACACATGGTGGCAATTTTACCAGAGTACCGGCTTGTTCATCTCCTAACGGGCATCGCTTAACGGTCGCTTTTATGACAGTGTGGTTCGCTTATTCGTTGTTATTATTCAAAGTGCAACAGTCATCAAAGTGGACAAATAATAATCAATCAAAAATTTTAAAGGACAAACAACATCATCAAAAAGAAGATGGGTGCTGAGATGCGGCTACTTAGGTTTACCAAGTTGCTTATTGTGGCATTTATTTTTACAACGATTCACGCAACGGACATTCAGGGTGAGTTTTTTTGAATTTAAATTTTCCCGCTCCCAACGTTAATAGGGGATTTTTCGCTGAGTTATTAAATCAATATCAAATTGGGGGAAAAACGGTAGCAATTCAATTGATAATAATTGAACGTCGTAAAGAATTATTGTTTTATGTTTAGGAAAAGTTGAAGGAAAAATTAAGTAATCTTAACTTCAGGGAAGTGTATCGAGTATTGTCGGCTATTATATGTAGGCGAGTTTTTGACGAGTGTTGTAAAGTTAATTGAGGAGCTATTATTGTAGTTTACTGTGATTGGACAATTATTTATATATATATATATATATATACACAGAGAGAGCTATAATTTTTATTTCTTTATTTTTATAGAGTAAGAGACCTTTTTCTCTCTAAAATGTTTAATTCTTATTGATTTTTCAGTGTAATAGAATTTTCCCTGAGGATAAAATTCTTTGCAATAATTTCTTATTTTTATTCAGATTTCTCTCGTTTAGCTCAATTATATATATTTAGTGCGTTTTAATTTAATTATATTTAATTTATAACATTATTTTTATTCTTATATATAATAGAATAAAATTGGTTTTTGGAAAAATTGTCGCAGACTAATAAAATTTTTTGATTTGAAAAATCGAATCTCTAAATTTGAATTAGTGAAAAAGTGAGCTACTAAATTTACATTAGTAAGAATTTTGACTAATATTTAGTCAAATATTACTATTTGATTTAGTAGTTTTAAAATTTTTTACTAAAGTTTTCGTAAAAAGTGACTAAAAATTAGTAAAAATTCTTACTAATTAAAATTAGTAGCTCTCAATTTTTACTAATTCAGATTTAAAGAGTATAAATTTATTTATATTTGTATTTTAAAAAACTTTTTTTTTAAAATTTTGTTTTTTAAAAATTTTCATTGCTTTTGAATATTTAAATTTATAAATTTTTTCCTCCGGTTTTTTTTTAATGATTTCTTGGAAGTATAACATATTTTATAAGCAAATCTAAAAACTTCCAAAGAATAGAAAAAAAATTAGAAAGAATTGTGAGGATAAAGAAAGAGATTCGTCTTTGTGATATAGTTAAAAAAAAATGATTAGGAACAAAGAATTATTTTCTTGATAACATCTAGAAAAGGAAAGTTTTTTTTTAGAATTAATAAATGTTGGTTGCGAATAAAACTAATTTTTTCTTTGGCGTTGGCTCCATTATAGGATCACTGCTATTTTATGCAAATTCTTATAAATTTGCATAAAAAAGCAGTGACACTATATATTAGAGTCAACTAGAACTATTTGTTACTTTTTGTATATATATATATATATATATATATATATATATATATATATAGAATCTTGTTTTCAATTGAGTTACAAAAATTGTGTTCCATTTGATTTTTAATTATTTAAAAATTAGTAATTAATAAAATAACCTATAATAACTTAATATTTTAATAGTTAATAGTTAATAGTTAATAATTAATAGTAAATAGCAAGTAGTTAATAGTGAATAGTTAATATTTAACCATAACCTTTTTTTTTTGTTGACTACAAAATTTAATTATTTTTATAATTTAAAAAATATTTTCCCTAATGACCACTTTTTTCTCAATACGATAATCTAAATAAATAAATTACAGATTAAATAAATCTGTAACTATTACACATTTGCACATTACACTTACTAACTATTTTGCACAGGGTAGTGAAACTCAAAAATTATACACAGGGATGTGTTGCTGCCAAAATTATAAAGTAGAACGTCCAAAATGTTGCATTTTATCACACTTCACATGTGTCACATGTGAGATGTTCTTATATAATTTGGCAACACATCCCTGTTTTGGATAATTTTTGAGTTTCACTACCCTGTGTAAAATCGTAACTTCTCAAATGTACCACTAGGCAAATATGCCTCTAAAATTAGTTAAAGCTGTTTTACAATACTTTCTTTACATCGGTAAATTTTGAACAATTCCGCAAAAAATAAAATTATGTTTATTACAAAATAAATTAAAATTTGTATGTATTTATATGTAAACATAAATGCAACATTGGAGATTTATTAGATAAACTGCAATTTTTATTTTTATTGAAGAAAAATTGTTTATTATTAATTGAATTAAAAGAAAAATTAAAATAGATTTTGATTTTAAGGTTATGTTATGTTAAATTATTTTAAGTAAGACTGATTCTACAATAGCTAAATCTTGTTTTTAAAACAAAATTTTTTAAGACGAGATGATGCGCGCGCATCCATTGCCAACTCTGTCAATAAAATGTTTATTTAACGAGTACTAAAAATTAAAAAAAAAATAGCATTTTACCTCGGAGGGTAAAAAATTTTTATTTTCTTTAGCACGACAAACTTTTTTATAATTTCAATAATTAAATTGTTAATTTTCAATTAACAAGCCTAAATTGCAGAAATAGTGGAGTAAATTTTTTTTTTAGTTGGTAATGGATGCGCGCGCATCGTCTTGTCAAAAAATTGACTTCAAGGCCATTTCGCTATTGTGGAAGTAGCCTAATACCCACTATTTATAGTTGTAAATTTTCTCATAATTTTGTTTATATATAATTATTTTTAGCTACCAGCAAAAAATAAATGAAATAACATTTAGTTTTATAATAACTTTAGTTTCGAAATCTGAATGATTTATTCCTCTTCAGGAATTCTATCAAAAAAAAATAATAATATTCCTCGGACGTAAAAGATTAGTTATTTTAAGCGTTTTTTTTAAAAAAAAGGAAATAGATAATAAATTTTCATAAATTATCACTGATATTTTTTTTCCATTTATATCATAACGTCAGGTATAGTAAAATAATTCCAATAATTTTTAATATACCATTTCAATGATACGAAAGTTTGTCAATGAAAATAATAGCGGTGATATATGGCCTTTATATACATCAGCAATATAAATATATAGAAGTACAGTAGGGATTATTATTTTTTTTTTTTTTGAGAATAAAATAAAAAGTAACGGTAAAAGTTATTATCTCAATGAAGCCTTATTTATGCGAGAATATATAAGAAGGTATAGAAATCGTCAGAGTTTCTGCATAGGAGTATATATATATAAGTTGATCGATCGTTTATCTACAACACTGAGAGAGTGCAGCTGCGTGTTTGATATGTCGGTGTTCAATGCAAAAGATTCTATATCCACTTCCTCTAATTTCTTGCGCTTTTACTATATATATATATATATATATATATATATATTTATTTCTGATTACAAAGTAAATTTTTGCATTGGGCATTAAAGTCACGTTCGCGCAAGGTCCAGAGAGTCTGGATTTGTCTATATATATATTGCTCGATTGTCCGATTCCTTATTGCGCGCGGCAGTTTGAAATACTTCCATATGATCCCTTGCGCAAGGCCTTTTGTCCATTGGAGACAACTCTTATATTGCAGATTGGAATGGAAATCGAGTAGTGCGGACACAACATGCGTTTCTCGGTCGAAAGTATACGCGCTCTCTGCGTATTGACGGCACACGTTAATTAGAATTGTACAGGTGCGCCTTCTATCTCTTTCTCTCTATAGCTATATATATATATATACAGAATGTAATTTTCTCCCAAGGATTCCTGTCACGAAGGGTTGTGAAAGGAATTCCTCAATCGTCTAATGTATAGTAAATTTTAGAATTTTTCGTTACAGATTAATCAAATATATCTATATAGAATTTTTATATTTGTGACACAAACCCAGAGCGAGATTTTACTTATTTTGCTAAATAAAAATTTACTCGATATACAAAAGATGAACTGAAAAATTTCGATCTTGAATTTTAAAATTAACCGAATTTTTATTTATCAGATTATGTGTATAATATATATTTGTTTGAAAAAATATTTGGCACAAATATTTTGAGGGGATTTTTCAAAAATTTTCTGTCTACTTTCTGATTGGTTAATTTTTAAAATTTGCCGCCGAAATATTTCTGACGATTGTTTATTCTATAACAAATGAAAGTTTTGTTAAATGAAAATTTGATAAAACGAGAAATTCTGATGGATAATTGAGTAAACTAATTGAAAAATTAGGAGAGAAAAATTAAATATTTCTGAAATTGTACAAAAATTCCTGGAAACAATTTAAGTGCGTCAAATATTTGCTTTTTGTTTTAAAGAATTAAAGGCGACGAGCACTGAAGAAAGAGAGCAAAGAAACAAAAAATTATACGTTGTATATTTATTTATCACAGTTGTACCTTTAAAAATCACTTACTAATTACATAAAATTAAAATCAGTTTTAAATGCAGTTTTAATTGAAATTTTGAAATTAACAATTAAAAGCAATGAACACTGAAGAAAGAGTGCAAAGAGGCAAAAAATTATAGGTTATGTATATATTTATCACAGTTGTACCTTTATTAAAAAATTTCCTTATTAATTTACCTAAAAATAAGTTTTTATTTTGGATGTAATGAAGACTTAAAAATAGATGGTTTGGCACTTTTTGTATTTTCATTATCATAAACATAACCTACAATACTTTTACTTCTTTGCTCCTTTTCTTCAGTGATCGTTATTAATTTCTCGAAATCTCTAAATCAAAATTTAATTTTACAATATTTAAAAATTTTTCAAAAATCATTTCAAATACTTGTATTTGCTTAAAGATTATGATTTTGTTATTGCATTGGCTAATTTATAAATCCGATTATAAATTTGGATTTTATTGCAAACCTCGAAGTTAATGATTTGTACATAATGCAAGTATTCGAGAAGACGAAAAGGTTGTGGTAAAAATTGCACATCCAAGTGAATTGAGCAAGAATTGCCATTATATATATATATATATAGAGAGAGAGAAAAGATTAAAATTTCCTTTTTTTTATATATAAATATATTAATATTAAATGAACACAACTGTTGGATTGATATTAATTTTATTACATCCTTCACACTTAAAGTGTTTGACTGCATTAACCTAGTTCATATATACTTATGTCCATTATGATAATAATATATATAGAAAATGTATTCGAAAAACG